GGCAAGTTTTATGGGTCGTCAAACGACTGAACCCGTAAGCTCAACACATTTTTGATGTTGAAGTCTTTTAGCTTTGCAACTATTTTTTTATTATGATTATGGCACAATATTTTATTCAACTTGGAAAGCGTTTTGAAAATATTTGTGATCATTCATTTTTTTCTGTGGGACTATAACTCTGCTTAGACGTAAATGGTATAGACGCTTTTTTGAAAGATACTTGCAATTGAATCTCAGAGAGAAAGCTTCCAACTGAGGTTTGGATAGGATGCTTTTGGTTACATTTTGGACAAATATCAGGGAGACACCGTTTAGTGCCAATTTTACAGATACTTTTTAAACCTCAGTGTGATCGTCGTGTTCGTGGTTCTATGTATTGTGCTCTGCGTGAAAATGAATATCCGGAGTCAGTTTTTCGTTTTTATAATCGGACAAGTAATCAGATTCAAGCATCTATCCATATGGGGTGTGTAAAGAAGATATTCGTATCTCGATACCATACATACAAAGGGAATCAACAATGCAGCTTGTAAAAAGCGCATTACGTAGAACCTGCGACGATGCCACAATACATCTCCATCCAATCACACGGGTTCTCCTCCTATCCCCAATTCAAAGATAGCCACTCAGTCGAGTCTACCTGTTGCATTTACGCCATCTATAGCAGCTGTAACGAGGCCTATATTGGTATTAATTGATTGACTAAGCCGGAGACGATGCGATTCAATTCAATTTTATCCGATAAAATTGTGCCAGCTGGCAAATCGTGATTGCCAATCACAGGCTCATTGACACACTCTCCCGAATGTTCGGTGCTTCTGGTGAGGAAGACCAATCGCTGACCGTTCGCTGTTCGGGGAAAAATAATTCAGCGTTGTTAGTCTTTTGCAAAATGGATCTAAGGGACAGTGACAAACTAGATTTGACTTGTCCGAACAAGTCTGATCTGAGTTTTCGGTAAACATGCGAGTAATTTAGGCGTCTCATGCTGCCAAAGGAAATACCGGCCATTTCAACTGGGAAAAATTCAAAGGGTGTTTTCCGGATAGGTTCAAAGTAGACCATTTGGGACCAGAGAGACACCAGTGACCACGAAGGAATTGAGAGATGATATGGAAATGCTTGTTTGTTCAAACCCCAACCGACTTACCATTTGTAGAGCAAAGCGCAACTCTTCCCTGGTTATTAAACCATACAACGTGTGCTGTCTTGTATTTTCTTTCACTATACACAAATTTCCTGTGGGATAACGATGAAGGAATTGGATTGGTCAAAACGTGTGGAATTTACGAACCGGTTTAGGTAGATCGCGAATCCCTCTGGAATATAGCTCTGGCCGATCGTGTCCCTGTTAAACTTGTCAACCTAATGAGATCCTACTATTCTCACACTGCCCCCCCCCCCCGAATCCGCATCTACGGAGAGGAGTCCTGCGCGTTGTCCCCAATGCTGTTCAANTGACGTTGACTGGATAATGGGTCATTCAATGAAAGGATACCAAGGAGTTCAGATACCTCTAAATCTATGGCTCACCGACTTCGAATTCGTGGATGTTATTGTAGTCTTTGGTGAGGACATATCCAACCTGCAAATAATCGTTGACCGCATCACTCGACAAGCCTTCGAGATCGGCCTAGAGCCGAACATATCAAAAACCAAAACGTCCTGATTCATCCCAAAAATGTACTAAACATCGAGCCAACCGAATCCTTTCTTCATTGTTTTTCTTTTCTTTTTTATTTTACTTCCTATTATTGAATATACAAAGAGACAACTTTCAAGAAAGGAGAAGCGGCCAATCAAAGGGCTGCCATATAATACGCAAATGGAGAAAGTTGGGCGGTGGTGGTGGGATTCGAACACCCGTCCTCCGGGGTGATAATTGGTAACGTTACCACCGGGCCACCACCGCCCGTCGAAAGCTTCATATAGTTGAGCTCAACCATATTCCCTTACGGTCAAGCTAAAGGCAAGGTGCAAAGGTTGCAAGAAAGGCTTTTTCACAGCTGAAGAATTCCCTTTGGCGTAGAAGTGAAATCAGTCTCAAGACAAAAATCCGAGTTTTCTCCGTAGCAGTCCATCCTGTTTTGCTAAACGGCTGTGAAACCTGGTTAACTGGAGTCGAAGACTGTTGCCGATTAGAAGTCCTTGATTACTGGTGCTTAAGAATCATTTTGGGAGTACGCTGAAGAGATCAGCTCTCGAATAAAGCGGACATAAGTAGGTGTTTTAACCTTGCATGTCCGCGGACGCTAATACAACGGCGGAGAATAACATGTTTTGGTCGCATTCTTCTTGAATTTGATAACGACCTGACCAAAGCTGTCTGTGCACCGCCTCCCTACTGGAACTGGCGCTGTTGATTCGGTGGGGAGCTGAAAACTTGGCTTAACAGGGTATGAAAAGATGCTGAAAACATTGGTCTCCTCGCCGTCTGCGGTATTCGCCTATGGAAGTCAAGCTAGATCACAATCTGCGGTGATCTTACCACAGATCGCCGAGCTTGGACAGCGGCAATTCGGAATATCCATGAAGCCGGTTTATTCTCTCCCCGGAACCAACCGCCGTAAAGTAAAGTAAGTTAAGCACACCTCGCTAACACAGCCATCGTTGAGCGAGGATGTAAAGTGGTCTGATGAGGCCGTTTTTCACCTTCAAGGAAGACCCAACAGAAAGAAAATCAGCGTCATGCAATGGAAGTACCTCGCAATGATTATTACAGAATTTTCGTTTAGATTGGGATGCATAACATGAGGTTGTTAGATCCATATTTCCTCAGTGGTAAGCCTTGCTGATCAAACTTGGTGAACTACTGTCATGGTCTTATTGAAGTTGTCACAAACTGCCTGTCATAACTGCACTCCGGGTTTGTGAAGAACACAAGTCACTGAGCTGAACACCGCCTGAGTGTAATTGTGTTAACACGACTTACAGACCGATAGTCATTAGGCCTGTCAATCCTGATATATTCAGTAGCCTCGGTGGCATTCGATCCGACGCATGGACGCCACCTACGCCTTTGTATAACGCATGCTCTACCAGTTGAGCTACAAGAGGACACCGATAGCTTTTCAGTTCACGCTCCATTTGCTCAGTACATGATAAAATTCACCAAATCAGTGCCTCCAACAGTATCATCTTGCCAGATTTTTGAGTTCGCTTGATTTTTTTGATGTTATTCCTACGCGACCGATGAGAGAATACGAAAAGAATTCCTCTCGCTCAGTGTTGGTCTTGTCACTTTCCGTTTCTAAACCATGACGCAAGCCAAATGTTTCAGTTTAATAACATATCCGTCTGACGTGGGTTAGACAAACGATCAGTAAAACCGAAATGACATGACAACTTATAAATGTTGTACACGACATAAGGAAACGGAACAGTGGTCACAGAGGGCGCGTTGCTCGGGTATATCAATCAAAAGACGCGGGAGTGGGGGGTCGGGGTGGATATGCTTTATTAGTTAGATTATATAGAGTGAAACGTTTGGTATGATCAAGTTCATAGGAATTCCGAAACACCCCATACCCACTCCGCCTCCCCCTCCCCCCCCCGATCCCCACACAGAGTAATTGTGATATTCGGAGACAGAGAGAGAGAGAGAGAGACGGTGGGATGAAAAATTCCAGTTTTCATGTCTACTTCAATATAGAAATTCGGTTAATTCGTCGTATGTGGATGAATGCTCTTTTATTTGTCTCCCACTCTGTCTGTCTGTTTCACTTCAGGTGGCTGTGGAGGCATCCTACGTGACACGTGTTTCTTCGCCAATCCCGGTTACCCAAAGCGAATAGAGGCCGGTGATATGTGTGTTTGGCTTTATCGATCCACTCAATCACGAGTTCAATTCGAACTAATCAAGATCAATGTGAGTCCACTTGATCAGTTCACTGATTGACAGATATCCATCAGTCAAACTATCTAGTTTTTTCTATACGTCATATAATTCAAGTCATCTTCACAAGCGCGTTACAACAATCCAGCCTGGTTCGTTTTACTATTCACTTACAAGACTTTGACTCAGTGACAAACACTGAGTAACGTTCATTAGAAAATTGTAGTTCAGTTTCTCAACGGAGCGTGTTTACATTCAGCTTGCTCTACCTACATACCGATTAGGATACAACCACTGTCACGGAAAACTCATTCTTGTAATGCAAGGCGTGTTGCGATGTGCCAGAGGCCCCGTTTAAGTAGGTAGATAACCACACAGTGAATTAAGCAGTCAGTTTATCGTAGACGATACATATGTAGCCGGTCCATGGACTAGTCAGCAAGCAGGAACGGGTAATACACAGGAAGGTATACCATCAAATAGGTGTGCAAACAGTCAGCTAAATAATCAGTGAGGGCAGTTCAATACAAACATCCGATTATTTGGAACCGATGGATCGATATGTATAGCAAAGTCAATCGGCATGGCGTGAGTGTGTGTGTGTGTGTACTAGATGAAGGCATCTGTCAATTAATCAATCTGGCCACAGACCTGCATGACAAACCTATCGGTCACTCGCTTTGGAAGTACAGAGTGACAATGGTTTTTCCACGGGGATCAGGCTTAGGAGAGAAGGTATAAAACACGATATGGAAGATCAGTCAACCAAAAAGATGGGCTTGATAATGCGTAGGAATATTGTCATTTTGCAGTTGATATATTATGCTGAACCAGCTATCTCTGTCGACTGAAACGAACAAATAAGGCCACTCAGTATTCGTGAAAAGCGCTGTTTGAAAATCGGATGCCTATGTCCGTGGTGCTGCTCGGTAGAAAATGTTCTGGGACCATACAACGTGGCGTTTGCAAATGAGAAAACATTGAATAAGCGATACAGAAGTAATCCCAGCGTTATGCCGAATAAACTAAAAGAGAACCGGATAAAGCTTCTTGTATTGATTGAAAGGTTAAAAGATTTGCTCGCAGGATGCAGTACAAAATGAGCTTAGGATTATTTCTGATGTACTCAGAGACAACAGAAGCCTAGATTGCTTCAATTACGGCATCACTGTGGATCAGATCGGCAAAAGTTAAACACCGATTGCATGCAAACGAAGAATCTATTTATTAGGGTACATTACAAAGGCACATTACGTGTGCGCATCTGTGTTGCTCCTGGAAAGGGTAGCTATAACGCCTCATCATCTCTATCGAACGCATAAGAAATTTGTTACTCGTTTCGATGCGTTTGTGGCGCACTGTACATCAGACCCCAATCCCGACGAATAGGCGATTCGAAGTGATTCCGATGCAATCTCCCGTCCGCGGTTATTGCTCGTCTAAAAGATTCTGGTCACTGTGTAAACTCAAGTGACATACTTAAGGTGATTTACACATTTCTTTCTACTTCGATTTATTAAATAATTACACAGATAAAACCACTTTTCAGGAAGCGTTCAATCTCAATCAAAGGAGTGCGATACATAAAACTATAAAGTCAGGCGGCGGTCGCGGTGGCGGAATTTGAACACACCTCCTCCCGAGGCGATAGATACTTCGATCGATTGACCATCAATACTCATTAGGCACGTTTCTTTAAACCAGTCACAATATATTATGAGGTGCACATGTGCGTCACGACTGAAGCTACCTGTGTTAGATAACTACTCCTCGAACTATGCTTACGGAAGTTTGTAATTCAATTGCTTTTCACCTTACTTGGGCTAGTGAACCGGTAGCTTCATGTGCAGACAGACATACAGACACAAACACAGGCACTCAATAATACTGTTCTCGGAACAGACTCCAAAGAGCTGTATGGCATAACTAAAATCATTTGTGGCGTGGAACTAACAACAAGATTAGCACACACACAGTGACTTCGTGAGTACGCACGCACCATGGTAGAGCTTCTTCTTGTAACAAATCAAGAAACGGATTAAACGACCAATCCCGTGGTCTCAATTGGCATCAACCGGATTGGCTGAATCCTAGAGGGCAAACAAATAAATTATATTGTTGTCGATTGGACATTAAAGAGTCGATCAATGATTGTTTACTGCTTGTGATATATATTTGCGTGATTTTCTGAATAGAATTACCTGTAAGCAATGTTTTCCCGTCACAAATTTGAATAGAGAAGTCAGAAACATGGGTTTGCACAATGTATCCATGGTCATTTCGCTGCATCTGTACACGTGCATACTGCAGTCAAAGTCATTTTATATAGTCAGTGAGATAACTACCGTGAAATGAAGACATGATTGCTAATCACAACACACAACACGACACAGTAACACAAAGAACGGGAGAGGGTG